TGTGGCCACTTTTTAGACCCCCAAGTGACCAATACTGGAACTTTGAGCTAGAAATAGTTAAAACAACCTTTCTGACTATTTCCAGCACATTTGTACAGAAACAGTAGCCCCTAGTATTAACAGGACTTTTCTATCTATGGTTCCAGTGACCTAATTGTTAATGCAATAAGTGCGAGCTTGCTCAAATGAAACAAGAGCCATGTCAACATGGCCATCCCCCGCCGAATGTGTTTGCTCATTGGAAGAATGTATATGTAGTACAGCAGAATAATTCCATTTTAAGAGGTCTTTTGGTAATGAAAACTGATGGCTATAGTGATTACAGATTTGAAACCTATGTGAATTCTCATGGCTGAAAATAACAAAGGGCAATAACTGAAAAATAATGCAGGGTAGGTTATCATTCTTGTGTGCTGCATCCCTCCTCAGTAAAATCTATCCACCTATGAAGTTTCAAGTTGATACCTCAAATACTTTTTGAGAAAAAAATTGAATTGAAAAATTAAGTATGAAAAATAACAAAGGGCAATAACTCTAAAATTATAAAAGGTAGAGTTATCATTCTTGTGCACTGCACATCTCCTGAGTTAGATCTATGCACATATGAAGTTTCATAATGATATCTCAAAGGCCTTTTGAGTTATGCTCTGGACAAAAATTAATTTTGAAAAATAAAAAAAAGGCAATAACTAAACAATTATGCAGGGTAGTTATCATTCTTGTGCACTGCACTCTTCCTCAATGAGATCCATCCACCTATCAAGTTGATAGCTCAAATACTTTTTGAGATAAGCTCCGGACAAAATAGTATGAAAAAGGACAAAGGGCAATAACTCAAAAATTGTGCAGGGAAGAGTTATCATTCTTGTGCACAGCATTCCTCCTCAATAAAATCTATCCACCTATGACATTTCATGTTGACATCTCAAACACTTTTGAGTTATGCTCCACTCAGGTGAAAAATTAGGTATGAAAAATAACAAAGGGCAATAACTCTAAAATTATGAAAGGTAGAGTTATCATTCTTACCTCCTGAGTGAGATCTTTGCACCTATGAAGTTTCATTTTGATATCTCTAAGGCTTTTTGAATTATGCTCTGGACAAAATTAATTTTGAAAAATAACAAAGGGCAACAAGAGCCACCGCCGGGCGGGGGCAACGCTCGACTTTTTACTTTTTCTAAACGCAAACATAGAAAGGTTTGAACATATATTAACGTTTCCTTTTTATAAATTTAGTTGGTCTGTCTTGTCACATTAGTTTTCTTTATATATTTTGTATATATATGAATAGAAACATTAAGCATATTTCTAAAAATAGCAACAGTACGCAATTTCTTAAAATAGCAACATGACGCAATTTCTCAATATAGAAAAAATGACGCAATTTCTAAAAATACAAAAAATGACATAATTTCTAAAAATAAAAAATTGATGCAATTTCTAAAAATAGCAACAATGATGCAATTTCTAAAAATAGAAAAATTGACGCAATTTGTAAAAATAGAAAAAATGAAGCAATTTCTAAAAATACTAAAAATAGAAATGATGACGCAATATCTAAAAATAGAAATTATGACGCAATTTCTAAAAGTAGAAAAAATGATGCAATTTCTAAAAATAGCACCAATGGCGCAATTTCTAAAAATAGAAATTATGACGCAATTTCTAAAAATAGAAATTATGACGCAATTTCTAAAAATAGAAAAAATGACGCAATTTCTAAAAATAGCACCAATGACGCAATTTCTAAAAATAGAAATTATGACGCAATTTCTAAAAATAGAAAAAATGACGCAATTTCTAAAAATAGAAATTATGACGCAATTTCTAAAAATAGAAATTATGACGCAATTTCTAAAAATAGAAAAAATGACACAATCTCTAAAATTAGAAACAATGACGCATTTTCAAAAAATAGCAACAATGACGCAATTTCTAAAAATAGCACCAATGATGCAATTACTAAAAATAGAAATTATGACGCAATTTCTAAAAATAGAAAAAATGACGCAATATCTAAAAAAGCACCAATGACGCAATTTCTAAAAATAGAAATTATGACGCAATTTCTAAAAATAGAAATTATGACGCAATTTCTAAATATAGAAAAAATGACACAATCTCTAAAATTAGAAACAATGACGCATTTTCTAAAAATAGCAACAATGACACAATTTCTACTAAAAATAGCACCAATGACGCAATTTCTAAAAATAGAAATTATGACGCAATTTCTAAAAATAGAAATTATGACGCAATTTCTAAAAATAGAAAAAATGACACAATCTCTAAAATTAGAAACAATGACACATTTTCAAAAAATAGCAACAATGACGCAATTTCTAAAAATAGCACCAATGATGCAATTACTAAAAATAGAAATTATGACGCAATTTCTAAAAATAGAAAAAATGACGCAATATCTAAAAAAGCACCAATGACGCAATTACTAAAAATAGAAATTATGACGCAATTTCTAAAAATAGAAAAAATGACGCAATATCTAAAAAAGCACCAATGACGCAATTTCTAAAAATAGAAATTATGACGCAATTTCTAAAAATAGAAAAAATGACACAATCTTTAAAATTAGAAACAATGACGCAATTTCTATAAATAGCAACAATGACGCAATTTCTAAAAATAGAAATTATGACACAATTTCTAAAAATAGAAAAAATGATGCAATCTCTAAAAATACTAAAAATAGAAATTATGACGCAATATCTAAAAATAGAAAAAATGATGCAATTTCTAAAAATAGAAATTATGACGCAATTTCTAAAAATAGAAAAAATGATGCAATCTCTAAAAATAGAAACAATGACGCATTTCTATAAAAAAAAAAAACAATGACCCAATTTCTCTAGATAGAAACAATGACGCAATTCTATAAATAGAAACAATGACGCAATTCTATAAATAGACACAATGACACAATTTTAGTTATTGTTGTTGTTGTTGTAAATATATATATATAGACACACACACAACAATAAATATTTAAATATGGTCATTTAATGCACAAATCTGAGAAAATTCAGTAATTTAACCTTCAAGGTCAAGGTCATTTAAGAGCCCAAGCAAAGTTGGGTTTGATAAACAACAAGGTCTGGTCCTTAAGAATGTTCTCTTATAATATGAAGTTGATCCCTTCAATAATAGCAAAGTTACAGTCAGTGACCGCCAAAACAATGAAAATTTCAATAATTTGACCTTCAAAGACAATGTCATTAATGTGTGAAGGTCAAGGTCTTTCGGTATATCTTTAACAGTAATCTTTGAAGATTATTATGTTCAAGTTTCAGGAAAATCCATTCAAAAATAACAAACTTACAGCCAATAAAAGCCAAAAAAATGAAAATTTCAATAATTTGACCTTCAAAGTCAAGGTCATTTATGAGTGAAGGTCAAGGTCTGGCTGGTTATTTTTAAGGGATATCCTTAAAGATTATTATGTTCAAGTTTGAAGACAATCCATTCAAAAATAACAAAGTTACAGCCAATAACAGCATGAACAAGCAAAAATTGGACTTTTTACCTTGAAGGTCAAGGTCATTTATGGATGAAGGTCAAGGTTAGTGTGGTCTACTGAAAGGTCTTGTCCCAAGGGTTGTTGTGGCCAAGTATGAAGACAATACACAAAGAAATAAAAAAGTTATGATCCAGGTACAAGTTTTCGGACGGCAACGGCAACGCCGACCTGACTACAGCAATACCTCTATTTTTTTTTCAAAAAAAAAAGTCGAGCTAATAACTAAAAAATTATGCAGGGTAGAGTTATCATTCTTGTGCACTGCACTCCTCCTCAATGAGATCCATCCACCTATGAAGTTTCAAGTTGATACCTCAAATACTTTTTGAGATAAGCTCTGGACAAAATAGCATGAAAAAGAACAAAGGGCAATAACTCAAAAATTATGAAATGTAGAGTTATCATTCTTGTGCACTGCACACCTGAGTGAGATCTATGCACCTATGAAGTTTCATGTTGATATCTCATAGGCTTTTGGAGTTATGCTCTGGACAAAAATCAATTTTGAAAAATAACAAAGGGCAATAACTCAAAAATTATGCAGGGTAGAGTTATCATTCTTGTGCACTGCATTCCTCCTCAATGAGGTCTATCCACCTAGGCTATGAAGTTTCAAGTTGATTACTCAAATACTTTTAGAGATATGCTCCGGACAAAAATGTCGGACGGAGACTATTTCTATGATAATAAATGTGAGCTTGATCAGACGAGCTTAAAAATTATGACCAATGTGAAATTTCAGACTGGAGCAATAGCTCCGAAAAAGTCAGCTAAATGTTGGTGTGGTAGGTAGAACTCATTAGTGTATACAAACACTAAATTCATAGGTTAGTGCACATTGATAGTGGCCATTTGCAATTAGATTTCATAAGTAGTTATAAACCAATGCCAACGCCTAACTTACACTGGGAGTCTGTTTCCAGTTTTTATTCTTCACAAAAGCAGGCGTCAAGTGCAGTGTGGCAGCTGTAAAAAGTTGCCCCGTACTTCACTTCAACTGTAGTGTAGTTATATTTTCCTGGTCTTTCGGGATAAATGATGCCAGCACTATAAAATGTTGAGAATTGAGTACCGCTCAAGTCTGTGGTAGGGGGCATGAGGGATGTTGCACTAATTCATTATCCCTCATGTACAGACTCAATCAAACCGAGTCTGCAATTTTCAGGTACTTTTGTTGTGATTAGTGCTTCCGAGGGATCACTGTTTCCAGATTTTTGGACAGAAATATATATTATATAATTCTATAACATGCAAAGTTTCATCTCTATATATAAATATCAGTGAATGCAGGTGCCTTCAGGTGTAACAACAGCAAGAGTAGCAAGATTAGGACAGCCTCAATTCTCTTTGGCAAGTGGATCTAAAAATATGTAAAATTTCAAGAATATCACAAGATCTTAAGTGTGATGTTGGCTATTTAAACTCCATAGCTGTGGGGGCTAATAAATAAGGAGACTCTGTGTCTTGGAGACGAACTTGTTTATTAAGGAAAATGTACAGTTTATTTCTTTTTGCCGCCTGACTTCTTTGCTGCTTTTCTAAGCTTGCCAAACTCGATATTAACCAAACGATTTCTCTGAAATATGAAAATACATAGATGTGAATATTAAATATACAGATTTTCTGAAATATAATTTATCAACAGTATTAACTAATGTTTGATCTTTCAAGCTGCATTCCATAGTCCTATCCATAAACACTCTTAAAGTCATATGGCCGTTTCTAATCCAAAAGAAGCATAACTCACCAATTTAACTCTTAAAAAATTTAGTGTAACAAAAGCTTCAACAACTTAAATTCATAAATATCACAAATCACACTTCAGAATGAGTTTATCAGCACCGTTAACTATGACGGCAGTTCCTATCAAGATACATGGGTTCATCATGCGTGCAATTTGTGATAACAAACAACGGGTTACACTTATGGATGCTCTCAGACATCACTTTAACAATGCTATAAACATAGTAATACAAGAATTGAAGTTGCTTATAAGCCTTCATTATCTGGAACCATCGGACTGCGACTCTAAACTCCTTAAAACGTTAAGTATCTTGAGTCAATAAAGAAATGCACTGCAAGGATAGTTTCTTTTGTTTAGTTTTACAGCAATCTTACACAGTTTCTTAAAGTCATGTGGCGCTGAAAACAGGATAGATGATTTTGCCAAACAAACAGCAACAGCAACGATCAAAACCACCTTACCTACTGGAGCTACAAGATGCAGACTCAAGTAATTCAAACTCATTTAGTCCACTCTTACTATCACGCAGGGATAAACAATGGCTGCAATTTAGATGCTTCAACCCTAAAAGGCAACCCCTCAGCCACAAGGGGGCAGTGTGAAAGGAAAAGTATAAGTTGCTACTGTAATTATGCTTATTCCCACATATAAGTGTCAAGGTTGTAAACTTGAATTGTTTTTCATTCACAAACAAACATTATTCTACTTCTGATGCAAGAAGAGTAATGAATCATACCAACTAATTTTTCTCCTATTTATAAATCTTGAGGATGATCAATTTTATCAAATATATATCAGACAGCACACATCAGAATGCATTTATCAGCACCGTAAACTATGACGGCAGTTCCTATCAAGATACATTGGTTCATCATACATGTGCTCATAAAAGAAAAGAACATACAACCTGGAAGCAACTTTTTTTACTCCAAAATTTGCAACCACTCTTGGAGTCCATCCAGGGCTTTTTTCCCTTCTATAGCAGGGGTCTTTAAGGATTGCTTCCCCAAGAAAAATTCTTTAAAATCATGCCATCCCCCCCCCATATGAATTTGCATCACGGTTTATCTATCCCTTTTTGCAAATATACTGCAAGTTTCCCACCAAAATTTTTAAGGCAAAGAAATGTTAGAAGAGGAATTGATAAGTAGCCAAATTGTTAATTTTGAAGCATTTTTTTTGGGGGCAAATTGTTTTTTTTTAATACAAATCGGACAAGGTTCATTAACAAGACCTGTCAAAAGAAGGGAAAACCCTGCAATACATTCAGTAGTCAACTTTAATTTATTCTAGAATTCAAGCGTGATTTTACTGAAATATCCAAATTTGAGAGCTTTATCAATAAATAATTATATTGAAATATTTTACTCACCGCTTGCTTTGCCTTCATGAGCTTGAATCTGTCAAAGTCTGTGAGTGTTTCCCTCTGAAATATATAACAATTTTCATTATATAAGCTTTGAAATTTAAGAACCACACATGTATTGTTGGGGTGTATCATGAACAGTAAAATTATGGTATATATGTAAACATAATTATAACCTCCATTCTTATCATAAACATTACCTTTTAAAAAAGTGATATGGTTTTTTCTACAAATACTTTTTTCAGGGCCTGCAAAATCTGATTTTGACTTAACTTGTCTTATGACATTTTATGATTTATATACATGTAGTAAATTCTTGAAAATTTCCATTTGTCCAGACTGGCTATGGGGCAAAATTAGTTATTTATTCAGTAAATTTTTGACTTAATCTTATCAGATTAGTTATGAAGAAAATTTTCAAAAATCCAAATTTAAAGGACTTTTTTTCAGTGTAATTAATTTTGTTGAAACAGATCAATCCATTCCAAAAACTATTTTTACAATACACAGATCTATATCTCATGTAATGCTGTGTACCTTTTCTCTTGCAGCAATTTTCTTGGCCCAGGTCGAGTTATTCCACTTTTCTGTGATGTTGTCTTTCTCCCAGTTCTTCTTAATGATCTTCTGTCTGCAAGAAGCTGGCACATTTAATCTGAATGTGGTCAACTGGAGGGCTTTCAAGTTCATTTGTTTTCTGGCGACATTAGAACAGGGTCCTTCTACCAAAACCTGAAAAATGGTAAGAAATACATGATGATGAGATATAAGTAGTATATTTTTTTTATAATTTCAGTAAGTTTGAATATATAGCCTGTTACACAGCATATAAAATATTATTTTTTAAAAGGGTAAGAAATTTCAACTGAGTATTATTTTATACACTGCTGATGAAAAGATAATCATTAAGTCCAATGACGCCAGCAGTTTACCATTCCTGAAAATCTTTTAGCAAAATCTATACAATACAAAATTTTATCACAATCAGCAGTAGATCAGAATCTTTTTTTATTTCAGCATCAAACTTCGCAAGATGAGGGTCCTGTCTCTGTAAGATGTTCATAAATATTCATAAAGATGTTCTTTATGCTAGATAGTTAGTAAGACTTAAATACAAAACTAAACTTACTCTGTTCTGGTCTATGACATCAACAATGACACAAAGCTTTCCTTTGTCGTCTCCATAGCCGATGTAGGCTACACGCCCTGATTCAACGTAGCGTTCCTTAAAAATAATAAAACAAAGCAATTAAAAGCTTAACTGGGATGAAGAAAAACACTACATTATCAAGTTCACTAATGCAGACAAAAATGATCAATTCAACTCGCATTACTTCAGGAGTTGTCTCCTTTCAATGTAACAAAAATAAAAGCACTCTGCTGCACTAAGTCTGAATGAAATCTGACATATTTATCATTATCTAACAAGATTGAAGATTTATTGCAAATAATTTGTTTATACGGGGAAGTCAAAGTCCGGGCTCGCGAAGCGGGCCCGGGCTTTGGCTTGCCCGGCTATAGTCTACACATGTATATTTAAAAGAAAATTCAAATTAAAAAAAAATATATAGAATTCTATACATATCAATGAAATTTTCAGTGTCAGTTCTAGTTAGGCGCCGCCATTTACAATGTAACTCAATGATAAAAGGCGGTGTATTCCGATTACGGAACAAATCTCAACTTTTCGGATTAATAATAATCGTCGACTGTCCAAGTGAAAACGGAAGTGGGTACATATAATACCGAATGACACCTTTAAAACGGAAAAATGAAAGGATTTTTTACCGACTTCCCCGTTCATAGGCTTTGCCTAATTTCATATTATCATATTTAATATGATATTATGTACAATAAAGATACAACAATAATAAAAATATTCATTAATTCAGAGTAATAGCAATTCCGTCGTGTAATCTTTACAAAACCTTGCGGTCTTCAGGGGGTTCGTTTGACCCTTATAATGACTCTTTGACCCTTCAAATTTCCAGAAGGCCTGATTTGACCCTCGGGATTTTAACTGGAGGGTCAAATTTTGTTAAAATCATGGGGATTTGGCCTTGTAGTCAGTTAACCATAGTCAAAATGACCCTCAGGATTTCATGGCTAGTGCACTAACAAAGTTCTATGCTCCTGCGTTTATGAATAAATTATGCAAATGAGCCACGTTGAGCCGCCATGTTGAAGTTTCGGTAAGCGTGTTGGAAATTGCTACCTGTTCGTTTTGAAAGCTCGTCCTAACTTACAGTTTCCTTGAATGTAGGAAAACTTGGTTTTGTTTGATTGCATACTGAATGATAGGTATTACAAAATAAATATAATGAAAATCAATCAATCAATAATTGTATACGAGCGTTATAAAGTCAATTTAATTCGTCAAAATAATAAGATTCCGTTGCAGGGTATCGGTAAAAGACTGCTTTTTTTCCCGTTTTTGAAATTTATTTGAACACGGAGACAATTTTTCTCAAACAGGTTTATGAATATACTTTACGTTGCAACAGAGTTTACCGTGTGTCCATTCCTTATTTCAATTGTCTAAGAAGTTAAATCTGTTTGTTTACATGAAAATGTGTACCGTCATTTTGACCGACTGGAATTAAAACTACTATGACGGTGATAATACCGGATATGTAATGAAAATTACGCCGTGTAGTGCAAAGTTTTGGACATTGCAATTAAAATTAACGCTTACGTTGATTCAAACTGTTCCTTGTCAGCAAAATTGAAACCGAAAGTAGTGGTTAACCTAGTTCTGGCTTCCATAACTTTATATGTCGCTTTTATTTTGACGTTGCGACAGTAAAGTTATGGGTCAATCCTATTTGCAAAGGCTACCAGAATTTGACAGTTTGTGCGCCGGACATAAAAGCCTACTAAAATCACCCTTTTTAATCAAATTTGGGTCAAATAAAAATATCATTTGATAAACAAATCAATTTTGAACCAATTCATGTTTTGTTTTTAAATGTAACTTCAATGACATTGTGTACCCAACTATTTTTAGAGAAATATGTAGAGGATGTTTACCAATATGGAGTCTGCTTTCAAATGAGATCTCGCGGGACTTCATGTTTTGGAAATTCTAACATCTATTTTTAGTAACGGACCATACACTATTTTTAGTAAGTGTATGATTTTATATAAAAACAAACAAATAATTAGCAACCCCAACTGATAAGCCTACAGCTTAAGAAATTAGCGTAAAAATCGATAGTGTGTTCATAAAATTGATTGTAAAACAATAAATTTTAATATTGACCATTATAAAAGTTATATGAAATAAATCAGTGATAAATTGTCTTCAAAATGATATAAAATTCATTATTCATGCATAATATGCATTTTAATCATTATCAGTTAATCTTAATATACAGGTGTATTTTCGGCCGATTTTACAAAAACCCGATTGTGGACACGCGCTTGTCACATGTATGCCGCATGACCTTATTTGCGGGTCATTTGTTGCTAATTAATATTCATGATTTTTTGCAACCAATCAGAAATATGTTTACATTTCACCGCGGAATTTTTCGTCATTTAAATATGTTTACAACAAGAAAGTTATGACGCCCGATACTCGCCGACGATTTGCTTGAAAACTATCGGTAAGTGAAGAAAAACGAATAGTGTTCTAGAAAATAAATTGAATTATCTTTAAAATGATTCATAAATCATAAAAATTATGTTGCCATTAAAGCACCCGCATCTACGATTAAATACAGCGAGTTGTGGAAATTCAACAGTCCATCAGAGTCCGCCATTTTGAATTCACCGACGCGGTGAAATCCGATTATTTCCATTACTGATTTATCACGTATAAACGAGTAACAATATAAAATTATGGTAGATAAAGTCTTGGTTTATAATAAAATATATCAATATATAATTATTTTTTTAAATATTAGCGCATTTGTCTTTAAAATTGAGATATATGTTTCGGCGGGCACCTGCTCAGTTTCGGCCAATTTTCAAATTCTAAATTTTTTTGTTTCTTTTTACCGATGCTTCAGGTTTCAATGAGATATCGTATATTTAACAAGGAAATCATTTTTTATTAAATATTAAATTATTTTTTTACGGTTTTATAATTAATTAAAGCAGAAATTTATTTCTAATGAGCAATTTACATGGTGAATGCAGGGTCGACCTGCTGCCAGTGACAGTTTTACCTGAAAAAAATCTGTTAACCTCTACGCATATATATATAGGATAAATAATATTTTTAAACAATGTATATAAACTTATTTTGCCAGCATTTCTTTTTAATTCATGTATGATTTATTATAATTACTAACTTTATACTTTATTTTTTTCCAGGTGCATGACCGACCTGACAAAAAACAAGAGGGCCATGATGGCCCTAGATCGCTCACCTGAATTATCAAACTCATCCAAACAATTACCTAGACAAGCATTCTGACCAAGTCTCATGACAGGTGAGTCAAAAATGTGACCACTACAGTGTTAACAAGGATTATCCATATTTGAGCAGTGCGACCTAGTTTTTTACCCAGGTGACACATATTCAAACTTGACCTATAAATCATCAAAACAAACTTTCAGACCAATTTCCAGGATACTTGGATCAAAACAGTAACAACTAGAGTGTTAACAAGATTTTTCTATTTTTAGCTCCGGTGACCTAGTTTCACATGCGATTTCGAACTAATCCAAGCAATTACCTAGACAAGCATCCTGACCAAGTTTGATGATAATCGAGTCGTAAATGTGACCACTAGAATGTTAACAAGGTTTTTCCATATTTGGGCGGTGTGACCTAGTTTTTCATCCAAGATGACCCATGTTTGATCTTGACTTAGAAATCATCAAAAAAAACTTTCAGACCAATTAACAGAATATTTGGATCACAACAGTAGCCACTAGAGTGTTAACAAGATTTTTCTATTTTTAGCTCATGTGACCTAGTTTTTCATCCGAGATGTCCCATGTTCGATTTATTCCAAGCAATGACCTATTCAAGTTTCCTGACCAAGTTTGATGACAATTGAGTCAAAATTGTGACCACTAGAGTGTTAACAAGGTTTTTCTATTTTTAGCTCCTGTGACCTAGTTATTATCCGAGATGACCCATGTTCGAACTCATCCGAGCTATCACCTAGACAAGCATCTTGATCAAGTTTGATGATGATTGATGCAAAAATGTGACCGCTAAAGTGTTAACAAGGTTTTTCTATTTATAGCTCCGGTGACCTAGTTTTTCATCCGAGATGACCCATATTCGAACTCATCTGAGCTATTATCTAAACAAGCATCCTGACAAAGTTTGATGATGATTGGGTCAAAAATGTGACCACTAGAGTGTTCACAAGGTTTTTCTATTTTTAGCTCCTGTGACCTAGTTTTTCATCAGAGATGACCCATGTTCGAACTCATCCAAGCAATTGACTAGACAAGCATTCTGACCAAGTTTGATGATGATTGGTTCAAAAATGTGACCACTAGAGTGTTCACAAGGTTTTTCTATTTATAGCTCCTGTGACCTACTTTTTCATCCGAGATGACCCATGTTCGAACTCATCCGAGCTATCACCTAGACAAACATCCTGACCAAGTTTGATGATGATTGGGTCAAAAATGTGACCTCTAGAGTGTTCACAAGGTTTTTCTATTTTTAGCTCTTGTGACCTAGTTTTTCATCCGAGATGACCCATGTTCGAACTCATCCGAGCTTTCAACTAGATAAGCATCCTGACCAAGTTTGATGATGATTGAGGCAAAAATGCGACCGCTAGAGTGTTCACAAGAAATTGTGGACGGCCGGACGGACGACGGACGACGGACGACGGACATTCACCGATCCTAAAAGCTCACCCTGAGCAAGCTCAGGTGAGCTAAAAATATCATGAAATAATATTGATGATGACAATATTTGACAACACTTGGATCATTTGGACAAATATAAGATGACAAACCAATGCTGTTAATGAATAAATCTTGTCATATAGTAGTATACATTACCAAACACAACAAGAACTGTCCCAAAATTATTAATGGGGATGCTGAGATGTCTGCTTTATATTCATTGAAATCCCAAATCAGCTATGTTAAGAAATGGAGTCGACTAATTTCAAAGATAATGGTTAAAGATGAAACTCCTTTAAAAAACATCTGGAAAAGGGGAGAAGCAGATCCTTCAATAGCATTTAAAAAGTATATGATACCAACTGGCATTTATCTGCAAAATATATGATAACAGTATACATTACCAATCATTGCAAGAACTGCCCCAAAATTGTAATGTGGAAGTATGTTTAATTGCCGAGATGTATGCTTATTCATTGAAATCCGATGAAATGAAGTCAACTAATTTCAAAGAAAATGGTAAAAGATGAAGAAGACTCCTTTTAAAACAAATCTGGAAAATGGGAGAAGCAGATCCTTATAAATAACATTAATTAATTTAAACAATTATGTCCTACTGACTGGCATTTATCGGCAAAATAAATCATATTGATATTATAGAGCTCTTGACAAAGACAACTGATATCCAGGTGCATCAATTTATGTTAGCAATGAAAAACATTCTTAATTTTGATCTCAATTAATAGCAAATCAAATCAATTTCATTTCTTTTGGTCTAGTGAGGAATTTCGGGCTGTTTGACTTATGTTCAATTTAGAATATACTGCTATAATTCGAGACTGCGGGAGTTCTGGAAGAAGAGAGTTATTTACTAACTGCAAAAGAAGTGAATAATTATTTTTTGAGAAGAGAAAAAAAAAGATAAAAGCATGACATTGCAGATGCTGTAGAGCAATTTGATATTCATTCATGTTGGATTTCATTATACAGTGCTGCTGTAGTTTCTTGTTACTTTATATATGTCGATAAATGAAAAATGAATAAATTTTTTTCAAAAAATTTATCGATACCTTGCCCACTGTATTAGACTAAGTAATTGCTCTTCTACATTTAATGGTCTGTAAAATAACACAGTTATATTCAGTAACACCTAATCTACCTATATTCCAAATTTCATCAAAATATCTCAACTAATAAAAAAGTTATGGTATTTTAAATGTGAAATTTGTCATAAACGAAGTCATTTCGGTTCCGTCAACGCGCAAGCATTTCTTATTGACTGTATATAGTAAAAATTCTTAAAAAATGCGCAAATTTCAACATTATTAAATGCCATAACTTTTTTATTTTTAAAGATATTTAGAAAAGGAAAACTGTTCTGAAATGCTTATAATGAGCACTATAAGATGAAATAAATTGTTTATAAATACAATAAAATAAAACAAGATTGCATTTGAGAAAAATGCTATGCCACCGCATGGTTCAAATTTCATAGCTGTACACCAAAGGACAAGAAAGTAGGTCACATCATCAAAATCTAGGTCACCTGATATCAAAGTTCAATTTTACAACTAAAATTGTGCACATGGTCAAAATGTCATTGCTGTACATCAAAGGACAAGAAAGTAGGTCACTGTCCCCTTGGGCAAGGTATAATTTTGACCCAAGGGTTTAATTCAAAACAATTTTGATACAGGTCCACCAAACAACATTTCAAGTCAAATATCTAAGCTATAGCTTTCTCCCATTCAGAAAACATTTGTTTTATTTTCTGTTTTTACTATGTGTACATAATGAGAATCACTGCCCCCGGGCAGGGCCAATTTTGACACCAGGGGAAAATTTTGAACAACTTTGGTAGACGACCTATAAATGATATTATATATCAAACATCAAAGCTCTATGCCTTGTACCTTCAGACAAAAATATTTTTTTTTTTTCACTATATGTACATAATGAAAATCAATGACCCCCGGGGCGGAACCAATTTTGACCCCAGGGCTATAATTTGAACAATCTTGCCAGAGGTTCACTTCACAATGTTTCATGCAAAATATCTTAACTCTAGCCTTTGTAAATTTAGAGAAGATGATTTTTTAAGTTTGTACTATATACATATAAGGAAAACTATGGCCACCAGGGGGCGGGGCTAATTTTGACACAAGAGGCAAAACTTTGAATAACTTTTGTAGAGTACCTTCAGATGATATAATTTAACAAATATTAAAGCTCTAAGCCTTGCACCTTCAGACAATAAGATTTATTTATTTTTACTATATGTATATATTGAAATCAATGACCCAAGGGCGGGGGCAATTTTGACCCCAGGGCTATAATTTGAACAATCTTGCTAGAGGTTTACTACACAATGTTTCATGCAAAATATCTAACCTCTAGCATTTGTCAATTGCTAGACGAATTTTTTTTTGAAAGTTTTTACTATAATTTTTTACTATATACATATAAGGAAAACCAATGACCCCGGGGCGGGGCCAATTTTGACCCCAGGGCTATAATTTGAACAATCTGGGTAGAGGTCTACCAGACAATGCCTTATGCAAAATATATAAGCTCTAGGCCTTTTGGGTCTTTACAAGAAGGTGTTTTAAGTTTTTTATTATATGTACATATAGTGAAAATCAATGACCCCGGGGCGGGGGCGATTTTGACCCAAGGGCTATAATTTGAACAATCATGGTAAGGGTCTACCAGAAGATGCCTTATGCAAAATATCTAAGCTCTAGGCCTTTTGGGTTTTTACAAGAAGGTATTTTAAAGTTTTTACTATATGTACATAATAAAAATCAATGACTCCCGGGGCAGGGCCAATTTTGACCCCAGTGCTATAAATTGAACAGTCTTGGTAGAGGTCTACCAGACAATGCCTTATGCAAAATATCTAAGCTCTAGGCCTTTTGGGTCTTTACAAGAAGATTTTTTAAATTTATTCTTATAATTCCTTTTGGTTGCCATGGCAACCAGATTTCTGCATGGAATGAAATTCTTTGAACAACTTTGGAAGCCCTTCACCCAAGGAACAATCCTGCCAAGTTTGGTTGAAATTGGACTAGTGGTTTTTCACAAGAAGATTTTTTAAGTTCACTATATAATCTATATAACACACACACAAACACACACACAAACACACACACACACACACAGGTGAATCGCTATATGCCACCGCATCGCAGATGCTGCGGTGGCATAAAAATTGGTGTGGGGTTGCTAAAATAATTCATGAATCATCACTCAAAACAATATAAATCCAACATGTTTTTGGTACAATGTCTGTTATTGAATAAATACACCGTTATTCATAATTGCAAAGCCATGTTTTCAATTAAAAATAGCATTTGGGTCACGTGTCACCAAATGTCATGAACCTAAATTCTCGCTGGTCACGTGATAATTAGGGCAGCAATGGCGGCGAGTTTTATGAAATGTGAACCCGCTGATAAACTTTGAGGCAATATTTCATTAATCTAACATTTTGTGTTCAAAAATATAGACTGAAGGGTCCCAAATATATCTAACTACCTGTATTAAAATAGTTTTTGTCCAGATCACGCAAATTTATTGAATTACAGCATGACATAAAAATGTCACGGGTCTGGTTGACTTTCGATACGGGGTTGGCTTCAGCGAACAGGTCTAGCAAAACTATAAAACCTGTTTGCTGAAGTATCTTTAGCTATGGTTAACCATGGTTGTTCTAGAATTTAATCGAATAAAATGGGTGGGATTTAACCACCGCGCATGCCCTGTGCGAACGTATTGTTTACATCCGGTCGTAGCATAGGGTAAGAGTGCAAACTTTGTTAGTGTAGTGAACACCCTGGGTCTTGCTTTTTCAAGTTATCATATATTTGCAGCTTAGTAATTGGAATGACAGTTCTACTACCTTTAGAAGAAACAATGTCCCCCACATTTGATACCTATACTATCTTGAAATTTGCAACACATTTTAACTTAAAAAAAAAAGTCTAACGACAGAAAATGCAAATTATGAAATAATCGACAAAAATATGTGATATATCATAATTATCGATCCTGTATGTTCGATAATTTCACATTCCAATAAAAATGCATGGTGATATGTTGATGAAAGTAGTCACTGCAGCACCAAGTTTCACCTTTTAATTTCAATTCGTCACGAGATTTCGCGATCTTCGTGAAGCCGTCTCGCAAATATACTCAAACAAAGTCTTTAATTCGTGATAAAAGCTACTAACATTAACATGTTAAAATCGATGTAGTAAATTTTACTTATGAAGAATGTCTTTTCGTCTCATTTAGTTCAACAAAGCCAGAAACACATGTAAATTTACCTTGCCTTGGACCATCGTGTGGCTGATAACCGGAAAAGGAAGTTGCAAAGGCTTGATGGGAAATATTTTTCATTATAATTTTTTTATCATTATTTATATTTTCTTTGGAATATGTATTTATGAAGGCTCTTTATGAAAGCCTTTTATTCAATCTACTTTTAAAATATATGCAGATAATATTTTTATTGAATTTTTACATAGAGGAAAATGGACAGTCCATTGTTCTATTTCGCGGAAAGTATCTAAGTTGTACACCACTATTTGTCGTTGATCATCACTAAATATTTTGCCAGGTACACTTATATGGTTACAAAATATTTAATGATGACTGATTTATGATGACACATTTGTCAAGGATAACAGTAAGTGCATATAAAATATGGTCTGCCATGGTAACCCTAGTTTTATTGTTTTTCACTTGAAAACTGTTTAGTGTAAATTCGAAGTCAGAACAATTGTTATATATTTATCAATATCTAGAGGTCCATTAAGTAAATTTTATGAAGAAAATTACACAAAATCAAACACACACAAATGTAATATTATAACAAGTTATCATTATAAAAACCCCAAAATCTTAGTTTATTCTTAACCGCTTTTGTAGAGCGCATATATATATATATATATATAGGGTCTTTTATAGTAATAATTTTTGCTGTGAACCTCTGTCACATAAATTTCGAAAAAAATCAACACACAGTGTATTCAAGGCTTTTATGTTAAATTGCATTATATAGATTAATTGAATATTTTCACAAAAATTGTACCGTGAGCAGGTGATTTTCCCACCTACGCCAGTTCCTGGTCACGTGATCTATGGGATAAAATTTTTTTCTACAGGGAACTTTGTATAACAGGACCGGATCCAGAAATTTCTGGCTGGGGGCATTTGTTTGAAAGTCCAAACTCAACCCCTTTAAGGAGGGTCTGGGGGTCCACACCCTGGAAAAAAAATGAAATATTCATGTTAAACGGCTTCGGTGGCTTCTAGTGCATTTTAGGTGCACATTTTGAAATGGAAGTGTCTACATAAATAATGTTTCACAAAGTTTCAGACTTTTTTTTAAAATTTGTGTTGACATTGCATTTTATTTTTGCAAAAGTCGAAAATCAACTTTACTTATTTCTAGGGAAAAACTATCTAAAAAATATTTCTAGACAGGTAGATGCTTTTAAATGGCTCTGTTATAGAAAGGAAAAGCCCTTATAATGTATAACATAAACACTAAAAAAGCGATGCTTTAGAAATGCTTTTTGATTAAAATTTTACGTCACTTACACTTCAGTACTTATCCAGATAAAGAGTTAAAACTAACTGAATATATATACAAAATATACATAAAAAAAAATTAAAGAAAGAAAAAAAATAAGGTATATTAGTTTTATTAAGGCACATATGATCGAGCCGTGTCACGACAAAACCAACATAATGTGTTTGCGACCAGCATGGATCCAGACCAGCCTGCGCATCCGTGCAGTCTGATCAGGATCCATGCTGTTCGCTATCAGTTTCTGTATAGAGTTTGTAAGCGAACAGCATGGGTCCTGATCAGACTGCGCGGATACGCAGGCTAGTCTGGATCCATGCTGGTTGCAAACCCATTATGTTGGTTTTGTCGTGACGCGGCTCATATGCATGTTAATTAAACAATCTCTTCCAAAATCTACTTACTTCCAAAACTTTACTAAAAGTGAACATTTTGTATTTTTTATTAATTCAGTAAGCTTCATCCTATTCTCCTATTAAAAAAGGCAAATGACTTCAGGAAAATCACATCTTTAATTGGTTCACCACAAATAAGTTTACCACATGTACCAAGCTCAGGAGCGTAGTTAAGCGATTGAATAACAACAATATTACACAAATGTAAGAGCAATGCTGTGTAAAAGCGCAGTAAAGTTAGCGTCTCTACATACACTACATAGACGCGTCAATGAAAACATTCCCCCCCTGTAAATCGTCCTTATTTTGAATATGTGACAAGAGTATTATATTCGTGTGGATATTGTTTCAAATGTAGCAATATTATGTTCTTCTTCATTAAATCTGGGACCAATTTTGTTTTTTGTCGCAGATTAAATTCAGTATTGAACATACACTCATACAATCATGTCCTTGATATATTTCCTCAACCTATGTTATTCTGCACCAAAGCACCCAAAATTGGTAACTTTTTCCAAAACAAAAAAACATATTTAATCCTTATAAATAATAACAAAAGGTTGATGGGTACATGTATATACACTCCCGGGGCAGCACGAAATACCCAAATAATATTTATTTATTTCTCATTATAATCTATATTTTATACAAACAAAAATAAATATTGCTATATTTGGGTATATTTGGGTATATTTGGGTATTTCGTGCCGCCGCACTCCCGCTACAATTATGCTAAATGTTTTTTTCAGTAGCCTACATGTGTGTATCCAATTGTTACAGTATAGCATCCAATGCAACAAGCTGGCCTTCATATTAAAATCGTAGAATATAGCTTAGAGTAGGCCGACTACTCTCACCACTCACCAGTATTTTACAATAATCCATTTTATTAACTATTTGTAAAGTAAAGCATTTGTGAATTAAATAGAGGGTTAATGTACCTGTATTCGTGCATTTATACATCTCAGATGCGAAAAATGTTATATATGTCTAAATAAGTTATATTTTGATTATAAAACTACAAAGGGGCTGCTGGGACAAAAATACTTCCCAAGGAACTGTTACAATTGCATTAAGCTTGTTTTTACAGTGACGCATATAATTAAAAAAAAATTATAGCACTTTCCGCAGAAAATGTTCCGTTCTAGTAATACGTGATCATACCGTAAACCAGTCGCAGTTAGAAAAGAAGAAAATAAATAAAACTTTTGTATCAGCTGTTTTTGCGTTTTTCAAGTGAAATATGAATTGTCATCGCTTAGTCCGACATGCAATTCGCTCGAAATCAACTCTTGCAAATTTGAAAGGCAGCTTAAGGTCGAAGTCTCATGTAAGTGGTCGTGAAGACCGAATTTCTGAATCTGGGTCATTTTCGGCCCCTTTGCTTTTGATGGCTTACAGACACTTCACCCCCAGACACTTCACCGTAGGCCCTTTTTTGCAGACACTTCACCCCTCAGACAGTGACGCATATAATTAAAAAAAAAATTATAGCACTTTCCGCAGAAAATGTTCCGTTCTAGTAATACGTGATCATACCGTAAACCAGTCGCAGTTAGAAAAGAAGAAAATAAATAAAACTTTTGTATCAGCTGTTTTTGCGTTTTTCAAGTGAAATATGAATTGTCATCGCTTAGTCCGACATGCAATTCGCTCGAAATCAACTCTTGCAAATTTGAAAGGCAGCTTAAGGTCGAAGTCTCATGTAAGTGGTCGTGAAGACCGAATTTCTGAATCTGGGTCATTTCGGCCCCTTTGCTTTTGATGGCTTACAGACACTTCACCCCCCAGACACTTCACCGTAGGCCCTTTTTTGCAGACACTTCACCCCTCAGACAGTTCACCCCTCATTTTAAGAAATTTGATTGAGACACTTCACTCCTCATTTGTTTATTTTGTGTTTAACAATTATTTTTGTAGAGTATGTTAAATACATTCAATAGTGATTGAGTATGTTTATTGTTTTAAGCCATTGTCTAATAAATTTTGAGTTGATTTAATTCTTGAAGTTTTGGTACTTAATTAAGTTTGATTTCAGTTTGATCCTTACCATAAATAATCATTGAGTTACGGTCATTTGGTGATGGTTTGTGCTTTAACCTTGTGCTTAATTTACATAACGGGTGCTATTTATTTGTTTAATAAATGACATTATGAATGATCTTTGTATTAAATGCAGGATAATTGTTTACTATATTTTATAAAGCAACTGATTCATTCATTCATATTCATTTATATTCATTTTATTTATCTATTTATTTATTTAATTTATTTATTAAGAATAAATTTAATTTTCATACAATTATACCATTTTAATTCAATTATCTAATCAATTGTGAGATAACCGTTGAATAAACAACTAATCAACATGTTGAATAAACAAGGTGACATGCAATTAACACTTAATGGATGAAAGTGCTGTGATATATCATTTGGCAATACAACCAATTAACCTAAATCAGCTTTAAACTTAGTAAAAATAAAGGTAATATGCAAAATTTTTAATCAAATATACTGAAAATATTAAATATAAACATATATAAGCATTTTGTTGTTGACCAACTTGTTTTATTTACTTTATAGAACAAAATTGGATGAGGGGTGAAGTGTCTTACTGATTTTGGGGGGTGAAGTGTCTTAAGGGGTGAAGTGTCTTCAAAATTTGAGGGGTGAAGTGTCTTTTTGGAGTTATTGCCCTTTGTTTATTTTTACACTTTGAACTTTGTCCGGGACATAACTCTGAAATCATAAGAGATATTAACAGGAAACTTTGTAGGTAGATAGATCTCATTGGGTAGAAGTGCAGTGTAAAAAAGACATAACTCTGTCTAGCCTAATTTTGGAGTTATTGCCCTTTGTTCATTTTTACCCTTTGAACTTTGTATGGGTTATAACTTTAAAACTCCAAGAGATATCAACATGAAATTTTGTAGGTAAATAGATCTCATTGAGTAGAAATGCAGTTCAAAAGAACCATAACTCTGTCTTGCCTAATTTTGTAGTTATTGCCCTTTGTTCATTTTTACACTTTGAACTTTGTCCAGGACATAACTCTAAAACTATAAGAGATATCAACATGAAACTTTGGAGGTAGATACATGTAGGTCTCAGTGCTACAGATAAGCAGCGTATCTGCGTAATTACCCAATAATTTTGACCAATTTACCCAAATAAAATAAAATTTTTGCGTAATAAAAACGCAAATCAAAATATCAGTACCCAATTTGTTTTGATACTCTAGCGTATTTTCAATATCTTGGACCATAATTCACCTAGCAAAAACTGCCAAACAAATCCGAAAATAGCCTGTTTCCCTTTCTGTACTTTCGTTTTCCATTTGTTAACCGGGAACAATTGAGTAGACTGGTTATATTAAAGATATTTTTTAGCGGAAAAGCTTTATATACTTATGAGAGATAACTAAATAGCAGTCCAGACTGAGGTTTATTTACTTTCTGCTTCAACAAAATGGCGAAACGGGGCTGATAAAAATTAATTATTTCAATGCAGTCTAACAAAATATTTGGTTATATAATTTCACCGAGCCAGATGTTGTAAAAAATTTGTTAAATGAACTTTTTAGACAATGTTTGTTAACAGTCTTTGTGTATATTGTTTCCGAGATCCTGGACAATATTTTGACCGATGCAAATCTATGCAAACCAATAAATTTTTCAATGATACCCAATTTTGTTTCTGTGTTACCCAATTGCTTGTCAAGTCCAGGGGTAAATACCCAATTAACTCAAAAGCTTATCTGTAGCTCTGGGTCTTATTGGGTAGAAGTGCGGTGCAAAAGAACCATAACTCTGCCTTGCCTAATTAAAGAGTAATTGCCCTTTGTTCATTTTACACTTCTTTAAACTTTGTCCGGGACATAACTCTGAAACCATAAGAGGTATCAACATGAAACTTTGTAGGAAGATTGGTCTCATTAAATAGAAGTGCAGTGCAAAACAACTATAACTCTTGCCTTGGTTATAGTTTTTGCCCTTTGTTAATTTTTACGCTTTGAACTTTGTCCGACACTACATGAGGTATACTTAATACCTGTGTCCAAAAACCTATTTGGGGAGCATCTCCCTGTTCAACCAGTTCTTGTTTTATTTTGAAAGTATGTCAGGACTACATGGACTTCTCTTAAACCACGTATGTAATTAGAGTGAAACTTTTCAGGACTGGTTGGAACTTGTACCTCAAATACTTTGCCATAGTACATGGGTTTTCGGGTGGAATGAATTTTGGCTGACTTTAATATGGCCCCTGAATAAAAAAGACATTTTGGCCTGTTAATGATTTTTGTGTGCCTGCTACACAGTAGCTGAAATATGTTTTCAGGTTGAATGATTTTTGATTCAGTTATTGTACTTGTATTATGAAACAAAGCTTATTATAAATGATTTTTATGTCTCCTGTAACATAGTAGCTGCAACATGCTATAGAGTAGGCATGATGATAGGGAACAAACTGGTCAATCACCCTGCAATACAAAATGTTAATTGGCTATCATCAGGCAACACATGTGATCACTCGTCGCTCTTGTTAACAATATTTTGTTTTATGTCTTTCGTCTCATAAAATGATAATACATGTCGAATATTTAAAGGATCTCACATGTAATAGCCTTAATAATTTATTTAGAAATTTTATGTTGCTGTTATTATATGGTTGAGCAGTAAATTAAATACATGTCTTTTTTAAATATACTTGAAGCAAGGTGTGTCAGCTTGATTCTTGAAGTTTTAACTATGAAGTTCATAGTTTAAGTTCATAGTTTTTACTATCCTTTCTTTACAGGTAGCAAAATCTGTAAAAGTTACAAGTTCATTTGTTGATGATGTGAAGGATATTGTCGGCAGCTCAAATGTATCGACAGCAGATGCTGTGAGGGAGCAGCATGGACATGATGAATCCTATCATAGGTACTAATTTTATCACCTATTATTTGTATATAACAAAAGGTCATGAGGAATAGAAAAAGTGGTCAATTACTCAAAGCAAGAATTTTTGTTAAATATAATATTTACACAGAAGCTTGTCCGCACTACTTCTCAGAAACTACTTGAATGTGCAGTTATTATAGGTTTATCTTGATTTGGCCCTTGTATTTAATTCTAGTTGATTTTACTTGGATAGGATCTCTCAAGGTGTGCCAGGCACTGGGGTGGTAGCTGCCCTTAAATGGTCACTGTTATAATGAGCCTTTATTTTTTTTACTCCATTTATTATTTGTAAATATAGAGTAGTAAAGTGAAAATTTTATTTTTATACTATCTTTGGCTTTGCTATTTGAGGAATTTGTAAAGGACTAAATACTGACCAGTTTGATTATTTTCTGAATTTACATTGTAACAATGAAGCAACCACATTGATTTTGCTTCTTAGGAGAATATAGCTGATCTCCTTCCTATAGGAAAAGTACAGTCTTTTTATAAGAAAATTAATTTTCACATTCTTCGCAAGGCTTAACAGCCTGAGTTCATTGATAGTATCTTGCACGAGATAAAAACAATCACTATTAGTAAAAAACCTTGCACGAGATAAAAACAATCACTATTAGTAAAAAACCTTGCACGAGATAAAAACAATCACTATTAGTAAAAAACCTTGCACGAGATAAAAACAATCACTATTAGTAAAAAACCTTGCACGAGATAAAAACAATCACTATTAGTAAAAAACCTTGCACGAGATAAAAACAATCACTATTAGTAAAAACTGTTACGATAAATTCATCTTTGACCTGATTTAAGCGTGGAGCCACCAGATGTTGTGGTCTTCGCAGAGTCCGTGGATCATGTGAGTAAAGTTGCTCGACTGTGTAATGATAATGGTGTACCTCTGATACCCTTCGGTAGTGGTACTGGACTAGAGGGCGGCATTAATGCTGTACAGGTAATGAGTTTCTGTTTGTGTCACAAAGACTGAATTTTTTTATCAGAATACAGCATGATGATAAATATGATAATAATGACCATGATTAAAATGATAATAATGATAATGATGATGGCTATAAATTTTGATGATGATGATAATGTTGAGAATGATGATAACAATGATAATGATGTTGACAATGACAGTGATATGAATGATACATGAAGTAATGATAGTTGCAATGTACTAAGGGGTTCTTGTGATGTTCCTCCATTATTGAAGTTGTATAATGGTCATAATATCATATGAGAATATGATGTTCTGGTACACATAGAAGTATCTAGCTCAAGGGTAACCGTTACAAGCTGTAACGAGGCTCTGTTGAGGTTCCACTAAAAAGGTACCCGGGTGGTAGATAATCCCATCTTTGATCAAAACAAGTGTTTCATTCTTTTTTGACTTCAATTCACTTGCCCCACTCTGCTGTGGGTTCGAATCCAGAGAGGGACTTTGGATTCTTTCATGTGAGGAATTTATCCAGCTAGCTTACTGAGCTTAGGTGGTTCTACTATGGTGCCTGTTTGTGCCTGAAATAATGCACGGAAGGGCACCTGAGGTCTTCCTCCAACAGTAAAGCTGGAACGTCGCCATATCACCTGTACTGTGTTGGTTTGGCATAAAACCCAATCAAACAACCAAAGTCAGATGCTGTTAAGTCATGGTTCTGGTGAAGAAGTGCACAGGGCATTTTTAGGGGAAAATATACATGTACCTATTTTGGGCTAGGGAAACTCTCTCCCCCCCCCCCCCCCCCCCCCCCATGGCACAAAAAAGATTAGAAACATTAAATGATAAACTGTTATTGTTAACTAGGGTGGATTGTGCCTAGATGTCACCAAAATGAACAATGTTATATCTGTGAATGCTGAAGACTTTGACTGCTGTGTTGAATCAGGTGTGTCAAGGTTAGCGCTGAATAACTACATACGGGATACAGGGCTCTGGTTCCCGATAGGTAAAATTAATAATAAAGATTGTTCGACTTAATGTTTACCACCCAATTAGTATGAATATCTACATATATATTTGATACAGATAGATAGGAAATCTTTAAAACTTCCAGGAATACCAACAGTTACAGATATTGGTTGTAAATACACAATGTGGTAATGGGTGATAAAACTATGTTCCTTAAAATGAATGCCATATTTACCTCTTCAATGTAAAAAATTCTAAGCTCTAGACCTTGCACTTCAAGAGATTTTAAAAGATTTCTTTTTTAAAGAAATCTATTTTTAGCCCTTCTGACCCAGATCATACTGAAGAACTGCAAAATTTATACCTTATACTATATCATGATTTGAAAAGTCCATATATATTTCATAACATACTGTTTTTGCTAGACACTTTTAATATTCCTTATAGAATTCATTTGGATACTTTTGTTGTTAACTGCTTTTATCATTAATGCTAAAAGAAAAAGCTTACATGCTCAACTGTCAAATATAGGATCATTTTATTGAAAGCTTTAGCATCAAATATGGAAATATATTGCATTGAACTGTCATGTTGTACAATATGAATGCTTGCTGTCAGAAATTAATACTTTATATAGAATAAACATATATAAATTATTATCAATATATGGCAAGGGGAAATTTGTTGAATATCCCAAGTTATTATATAATCATTGTGTTTGATTAATGACTTCAGACCCCGGAGCAGACGCCAGTTTATGTGGAATGTGTTCAACAAGTGCGTCTGGTACAAATGCTGTACGATATGGTACAATGAGAGAAAACACACTCAATATGGAAGTTGTACTAGCAGACGGCAGGGTAATTGACACAGCAGGGAAGGGTAGACGAACAAAGTATGTATTCTTTCCCATGTTTTCCTAGTGTTATTCTGTCACATGTTGACAATTTAGAGTTTTTGGCACAAATGTTAACATGGGCTAGACAGCATGTGGGTAGAGGAGTCTCAATGTTGAACTTAAAAGTCAAATGCGAGTCTTAAACATATCTTGGGCAGAATATTTTTCAGATTTTGTAAGAAGATTTTGAATATTTTTTGGACAAACGTCATATATGTTGAGACAGCGTGTTGTGTTCATGTGAGTAGGCCAAAGGTCATGGTCATACTTTCATGGTCATACTTAAGATCAGATAAATAGAATGGGTCTAAAATTACCTTTAAGAATTTTTTTTCTAAAATTTACTGTCATGATAATATGTCATATTTTCCCTGAATTTTCTTTTAGAAAAACATCTGCTGGGTATAATTTGACAAATCTGTTTGTCGGATCAGAGGGAACTCTGGGTATTATCACCAAGACAACACTGAGGCTTCATGGGATACCAGAGGCAGTAAGTTGCTATGGTAACAATTAGCCATGTAATATTTACTCAGTGGTAATGGTTATTTACAAAACCATTGTGACTTGATTGTTCTTTATCATAATTATGTTGGTTTAAACATATTTATTTACGCTCTATTGCGAAATAAATTCTTGCAACTTATATTAATCACTTTCGAGTCTGCTTCCTGGAACCAACCAGTACTGGTGTCATATGCAGAAATATGGTCGGGACCCAAATAGGGCTCAAACCCATGATCTCTGGGTTGACAGGCAGACACCTTAACCACTAGGCCACCGCTCCCCTTCATCATTATGTTGATTTTGATGTAACAGTGTTCTTTGGCAATCTGCAGCCATTGCATTTCATAGCTCCGAGATATCACAATACATTGGCAATGTGTTTCAATTTTTGCTTGATATTTACACATGATATATGTATTACACTATAAATATTATTACTAGTTCAATATTATTTACATATGATATTATATGATTATGTCTATATAATTTATTAATGCAATATCCATATTAAACATTACAATAAAAATTACACAATGATACACTATTGACAATTTGATTTTTTATCGAGACATGTATGCACAAAATTAAAAAAAAAACATTCTACTTTTGATTGGATAGGCTGAGAGAAAAAAAAACGTACATTTTATGAATAAGATCTTAGTAAATGATCTTATTTGAATTTCTTTTAGTTTCTGTTTGATGTATCAAAATGAACCTTGTATTTCAGACTATATCAGCAACTTGTCACTTCCCAGATGTACAATCAGCTGTTGATACAACAGTACAGGTGTTACAATGTGGTATACCAATGGCTAGGATAGGTAAGGCAATAATTGTGTAGTTGACATGTGAATGCATAGGTTAATGTAGATAAGAGGGTATAATGTTTTTGACCCGTCGATTTGTATGTCTTTGTTTGTAGACAGGAGATGGTAATTCTATCAAGCATTTTGACAGCATTTTGACAGAATAATGACCCTTTTTCAAATAGAATTTACTTTAAAGTTTGCGTACTACCTCAGATATTTTCATTTTTCATTGCCATCTGGCTTTGAAACAAGTTGAAATTTTATACACTTCGTTAAAAGCAAAATAGGACTATCTCCAAGACTTGTCCATTTGACAGGTGACCTTTTGATCTTTTGATTTGGCTGACTTTTTGTGTTAAGAATCATGAATGTGTGTTGTATTATCTATTTACCTTAAAATTATAATATGTGTATGATGTACTAGTTTTAGACATGTGCTTTTGATTAGGAGCCTTTCTCCTGATTTGGCTGACTATATTTTGTTAAAAATCATGAATGTGTGTTGCATTTGTCTTGAAATTATTAAATGTGTAACATACTTGTATTTCAGAGTTTTTAGATGAAGTTTCTATTGATGCATGTAACAAATACAGTCATCTGGAATTGCCTGTAGCGCCATCTTTATTTCTGGAATTCCATGGTGCAGAATCTGCTCTAAAAGGTCAAACAGAGATTGTAGGTAAGGTGATAAAAAATAAAATCAACTGCATTAAAATAGTTTATAAACTGTGATTAAATATCTGGAAAAGAAGTGATCCCTCGGAAGCATTAAAGATAGGAAAGTTACATGAAAATTGCAGACTTAATTTTTTAATTGAGTCTGTACATGAGGGATAATGAAAAAGTGCAGCATCACTCATACCTCCTACCACCAGCTTGAGCGGTACTCAATTTTTAATACTAAAAATTGTTGGAATCAATGATCCAGAAAGACCGGAAATATATGACAACACTGACGTGAAGTCCGGGGCAACTTTTTACGTCTGCTGCACAGCACTTGACACCTGCTGTTGTGATGTAGTAACCCTCTCGAAAAGACAGATAGTTGGTAATAAAATACCCCATTTCCTTCAGTATGATTCTTTTTCTTGTGTACTGGCTATGTTGCCATAGTAACCTGTATTTAAAGGGGTTCTTCCTCTCATGTGATCATCCCTAGTTAAATAATTTAGTGGGACTTAAAAAATTGCACAACACTAAATACCATGTTTCCATATATATCGGAAAAGGCGCTTGAATGATTATAAGGTAAAATCTCGCCTTTTCATTGAATGAAATGCACTTTAAAACATTTAATCATCTCTACACACAAATTTATGTACGATAATGAATGAAAAATGTAAGAATCAGCAAAAAAATGATATTTTTCTACTTTGATCATCATTTCTGCAAGCATCTAAAGGTTCAACACTGCAGTGAGTTACATAAATACTAAGTAATTACTGATAAATTCCTGCTTTCATGTAATTTGTCCACAAACAATACTTTCACAAACAATACTTTGTATTCTTATAGAAATCATCAGATCTAATAACAGATAAGGATAATTTCTCTCAGGTTGAAATATTTTTTTGCGTGATACACGGCCATTAACCTTTTCTTGGTTATTATAGGTATTACCAGTGAGGAAGTTTATTTTCATGAGTTAATAAAAAATTACGAGCCCTTTTAATAAATTATTGATACTATATAAATTTTAATTAAAGCAGAAAAGTAGAAACAATAATTATTTGCATTATTCATGTTGTAAAAAGTATGTTATAACTATTCAAACATCAAATTTGATGATATTTTTGTTGTTGAAATTTTCATCAGAGGACCTGGTTAAGATGAATAATGGTTCAGATTTCAAATGGGCAACAGATCCAGAGGAGAGGAATCATTTATGGAAGGCAAGACATGAAATATTATACGCATGCATGGCGCTGAGGCCGGGATCCAAGGTATATATGATTACTATAATACTGCATGTTTGTAGCAATGTACTGTAGCTTTCCATTGGATAATTGTTACGTTTATGTAGGTATATATACACAGTTGCTGTCCTTTCATGAAGAAATCTTGTTTTTTCTCTAAAAATAGGAAGTTTGCTGTATCATAAATTACATTTGTAATTATAAATATCCCAGACAGGTTATATGGCTTTATATTTGCCGTTTGTAAATATAACCTTAGCCACTAGGGCCATATATCCTGTCAAAAATCTTCATAACTAATATTATACATTGTAACTAAGATTTCAGGATATTTTGTTTGTTTGAAAGAATAAAGAATCCACTGTTATAAGGATACCGTAATAACCGTTACTGTGAACATACATTAGGTTCTTCAACTAAGGTGGATGATGTCGGTATACATTGTAATCAACTATTTAACCATGGTTCAATTTCAATGTATACTTCAACATTGTAGTCTAGACGGGAGGGACCTACGTAATTCAAAAATAAAATGATTTGATAAACAGCCCAGAATTGAAGGAAAATGCTTAAAACTTCGCCATTTGGGTCCAAGGTTTTCTCTTGTATGGTTATAAGTTTTGAAGTAAATGCTCTGAATATGAAAGTTTTAATATTTTTACAGCCATATTCCACAGATGTATGTGTTCCTGTATCAAATCTTCCAGAGGTCATAGTTCGAACTAAAGAAATGATCAATGAAGCTGGAATAGTCGGTAAGTCTCTTTAAACTTTGAAGAAATCAATTATTGTGTTATCTTTTGGTCCAATCAGGCAAGAGTGACACCATTTTGTTGTGTTGATTATTGTGAAAGGGTTTGTTTTGTTGTTTGTTCAAAGAAAATAAAACAAACGGCAGAAACATAAGGCAATTGTTGTAAGATTTTAGCAATCCTTTTGCATTTAAATGGTCTTCTTAATACTGTATGATGTTATGAAAATTTATTGATGTGATTTTTGTATAATAATAGAATTTATATATAATTTAAATACTTCTCTTATGGATTGATCCGCTAGCGATTTGACGCCAATATAAGACAGTAGTTGCTTGTCCTGTTTATATCATGTCTTGGGTCAAATACCCTTCAAGTTCAACAGGGATATTGTAATTGTTTTGTTGTTATTAGAAAAAAAATCTTCATGTTGCCATGTTTCAAATATTTGATATATGTAATGTTTTAACAATGATGTATTTATATCAATTCAAGTTCAACAGCGATATCGTAAATGATTTTTTGCTATTAGGAAAAAAATACCCATGTTGCCAAACATTGGATACATTTAATGTTTTTGATGATGATATATATCATGATATTAACTCTTTGTTGCGCAGGTCCTATTGTAGGTCATGTGGGCGATGGAAATTTCCATGTTTTCTATCCAGTACATCCAGATGACCACGAAACTTTACGTAAAATTAAGGACGTGTCATATAAAATGGCGTTGTAAGTGCTTTTATACAGGACAATCTTGTTGCAACATTCTGTAAGCTTGGGAAATAAAAGTATATTCTTGAATATGTTACTTGTTAGTTGATGAAATGAAAATTTTGAAATGGTCTGTAATTACACTCCCGTCCATTTGCTGATTTTAACATTAAAGCAGCATGCCTTCAGATTTTAAAAGATTTTTTTTCTTCAACTTTGAAATTAAGAGGTTGGTAATAATTGATTTACATATTAAAGCTAACTTATCCAGGATTTACCTTTTACTTGAGTTTGTAATTATTTATTTTTTCCATTTTACCATCTGGAGGCTTGTATCTTGAAAGGTTACAATATTGTTTTGTCTGTTAAATGTAAATTAATTGAATGGCAATGGAAGACTTATAAAGATAAGGATTGTGAGACCACTAGCTTTGGAAAAGTTGAGACAGTTAATTTAGTATACATTTATGTAACCTTGCATTTTGATAATTTAGTGAAAAATCAGTTTGATAGTGTAATTAAAGCAGTATTCCCCCAGATTTATGCTAATTTTCAAGTGAACAAAGAAAGTAATTTACACATTGCAAATGGCATTTACAGTTGGCATAAATTACCATAAAAAGGTCAAAATATGTAAAAAATATAAAAATAGCATTTACTTTGCTAGTTAGACAGTAGAAATAAGGTAATAAATTACAGCAAAATCAGTCAATAGTCCCACATGACATATAATCTTGTTTTACTTTTCTTAAAATTTTAGTACAATTTTTCTCAAATTTCATTTTCTTGATTTTTTTTTTCTCATTTAGAAGTGTGCAGCTTTAAAAGAATAAAAAGGTGATCAGCCAAAGGCCTCTCAACCAAATTGAATAATGGGGATATATCCCATCAAAAATTCCCCATTTAGGGTTTTTTTGTCATTTTTCCAAACGTCGGTTAGTCATATTTCCATACGTCGGTTCAGAGTTTGTTAAATACACTCTTCCTTACAACCCTTGTTTAGTGCCTAACTTGTTCAGATATTTTTTTGCTTTCATAATATTGGAGATTTACATAAAATACAAAAGAAAACAAAAAAATTAAAATCCTGGACAATGTAAAGTTTAAAAAGAAAACACCAGAAAAATCGAGCAGTTTCCCATTAGCCTTAGGAATGTTGTACACAACAAGGTTGTTCTGTTGATAATTTGTGTGAAACTTTCTCAAATATGAATTATCATCCATCTTAAACAAATCTCTTTTGCAGAATTATTTGTTTTAAGTCTTAAACTTTCTCACTGTTAAAAAAGGACATAAATTCTAAAATTTAGAAGACTGGAACCATTCAAACATTTCAAAGACTATTACGTCAACATAGCTATGGACTTTAATGAATTATAACTGAACTGGCTATCCTTTTGGATATCTCATATTATTGCTCCTTTTTTTGTTTCCTATATCAAAATTCAAAATTCGGGGCATAAAAGGCACAATTATTAAAATCCATATCTGTTTCGTATTTCAATCTAACCTAGATTTACGTTTTAGCTCAACAGAACAAATAGTTCAGAGTGAGGTATTTTTATGAAAGAGCAAATTGGGAGTGGCTGGGGGTGAGGATGGGGGTGAGGACGCGTCTGTCACTCAGTAGTCATAACCAAAAACAAAACAATCATCTTTTCCTACTGTACAAATGGAATCTGGGACATTTCTTCCCCAGGATAGTTGCCAGATTATTGTACATCATTCGCCCCCCTCCACCCAGTGGAAATGCAAAGGTGGACACTTGCACCTGCACTGTTGGCTATTCAGTCTGCACATATTTTGAAGTTTTCCCCTTTTGATGGTCAATGGTTTTGTCCAGATTGGAAAATGGACAAGTCCATTTAATATAAATGTTACATGTTTTCATCATTTCAATAAATGGACTGATTATCAAACATTGCACTTTTAGAAAAAAGCAAAAAACAATTTATTTATTATTTTCAAACATATATAGGATATTCAAGTTTTTGTTTTCATTGAGTGGTATGAAAATGATAATAATTTCATGAGTGGCAGTAGCCACATGTGAAATATGATTATTTTCGTACCAGAAGATGAAAATAAATCCTGTATTATAAAAAAAACAACTTGAAATTATGTTTATTATATACTTTTTTCTCTTTTTTGAGAATATAATTTAAAAGACTTTCCCTTAAATTTTGTGTACTGGCAGAATTTAGAATAAAACAGTCTGGCAAGACACCAGTGAAACTATTAAAATATGTTTCACTGCAGTGAAAAATAAATTTTTACATGCAGTGAAAATTTCGGAAAATAAAAATACGCATTTAATTTATCAATATTTCTCAAAATTTCATTTAGAAGTATATGATAAACTGGTATTCTGAGGAGCGATCCAGGGCTCTCATGACTCTCTTGTGGTTTTTTTAGTGTTTGTTGTATTATAATGATAATGAATTTAAGATTGTGAAGGTGTTAGTTTAATAAATCATGTAGCACATAATACATGGAAATTTAAAAAAAAAGACAAAACCATTGAAAAAAATATAATTTAAATTTTCATAAATCTCCTGTGAAGGTTGTTTAGAATTAATAAATTTTTATTTTATAAAAATTTATTAATAATTTCAAATACATGTTTATTGCAGTGTGGTTTTTCTTCCCATTGTAAATGACATTTACACCTAGAAATTAATCTTTTCACAATTATACTTTGATTAATATGAAGAATATTGGCATTTGAAAGATGAAGCTGTCTTTCAGTACTTGTGGGTGAAAAAAAGTTATAAATTTGGTTTAGAAAATTAAAAATCTGAACACAAAAAGAGAAAAAGGTTTATAATGAAAGAATTTGATGAGCATGTTTGAAGGTTATTTGAGTGTAGTGAATTTAATCATAGATATGAGGTCATGAAGTAAATTCTCCTTTCATTTTTCAAATGTCAGGCAAAGTGATATTTCTTAAAAGTGAATAAATCAGTTTTTTTAGTCAGTCATAAATTGAAGAAGGCTGTATGGTATGTTGGGTATGAATAAAATTTAAGGGAAGTTTACATCATGTTAGTTGTAATTCAATTGTATCTTACTCTAACAGGTACAGATATGTCCATTGTGTTGATTCTTACCAAAACTTGATATTTTGTATGATTCCTTAGTCTTCCTTAAGTGGGGAACTCTTTATTTTAATTTATTTAAAAAGTGACATTATGGTCAATTGTTTTTTAACATGACTTAGAATAATGAACATGAAGGAGATATGATGTTCAGCATGTGTAGTTGTGTATCTGGGGTTTTGCTTGTATATTAATTCAGTGTTTGTAGAGTAATTGCCCTTAAAAGCCGTTAAGAAATACTGTGTCACATGTACCTCTAAAAATACTTGAGCAAGAGTCAGCAAACTTTACAGTAATGTTGATGAGCATGTGAAGTTGTGCACCTGGGGTTTTGCATGTTGATTTATTTCTTTTTGTTAGAGTTATTGCCCTTGACTTAATAGAAATTTGCAATTTTCAATTTGTGTCGTGTGTAGCTCAAAAAGTGTTTGATCTAGAGTCATGAAACTTCACAGAAATGTTGGTCAGAAGCATTAAAATGTGGTTGTATTGATAATGAAAAAGTGCAACATCCTTCACATAAAGTTTATCCTCACTTAGACATATCCTATCATGTCAAAAACTCTCAGTGGAGTCCCTTTAAGATAAACTTCCACAATTGATAAGACTCTCAGGCCTATAACAGTCCTCTGTAATCAAGTTTGCCTGCATTTACTATAGACTTTACAAATAAGGCTCGTTTTGAAAAATAATGGATGTGCTAGTCGAACAAGACTAAATTATAAACTGAGCATATTTGAGATTGTTTCCATTATATGAGGGGTGACAAAAAAGTTTGTGAAAATGTGCTCTCATATTTTGGGTACCAACTAGCTTGATGGTACTTTACATAAAATTGAAAGTGAATTTGGTTTTTGGTTTTGGTTGAAGGAAGGACTGGGAGTTTAGGTTCAGTCAAAAGAAGTATATATATAAAAATTCATTTTTCTAAAGTTTTTGTTTCATGGACATACAGTGCACAACATGTACTGTAGCATTTGGTCACATTATTATTCTAGCACCAATTTACTATGTTAGTTTTTCTTAAAGCTCAAAAAGCTTTTAATATTGTTTGATATAAATGTACACCACCATGAAATGTAGTGCTGTGTGGATGAACCAGGTCTCTAGGTCAAAGGTCAAGGTCACACTTAGAGGTCAGAGGTACAATGTTTGCTTGGAACAAAACTTGTTCATGTATGAGGGATTTTATTATAACATTGCATAAATATTCATCATTATGAGGTGGGGTGATGCATGCAAAATTCAGGTTCTTTTAGTCAAGGTCAAGGTCATGTGCAAACATGAAAGGTCACACAAGAAATTCAAAAGATTAATGTTGATCATTTAGTTGATTTAATGTAATTGTTCACTATTTAGAGACTTTACAAAAAATTTGTGATGGGCATGATTTATGACAAATTGGCATTCTTGTTTTTACTATAAACTTTAACATTTGTTAAAAAGAAAATCTCCGCTTTTTTTAAAAATCACTGGGCTATTTTCAGGATAAAAAACATTTGAATTTCCTCTTAAGTGATGTTACCATTTTTCAGACCTTTTCATTGCCACAAAGCATTAAAGGAAACATGATAAAATAAAATACTCTTAGACTAAACATGTTAAAAAACTTGACTGGATATATATGAATACATGTTCATGAACTTTTTGATCACCCCTCGTGCCCTTGTATATGTTTTAATGACTCTTGTAATTCATCAGTGGTATTTGTGTACCTATTTTCAGATGGATTCATATTAGGTCATGTTGGTGATGGTAATTTCCACACTTTGTTTTTATTAGACCCAAATAACCCCAAAGAACTGGAATTTGTCCAAGAAACATCTGAGAAAATTGCACTGTGAGTGTGTTTGTATTTTGTTTTTGGTAAATGAGCCGTGCCATGACATAACCCACATAGTGCGTTTGTGACCAGCAAGGATCCAGACAAGCCTACGCATCCAGGCAGTCGGATCAGGATCCATGATGTTAGCTTACAAACACTATAGTAGAGAAACTGACAGCGAACAGCATGGATCTTCATCAGTCTGCACGGATGCGCAGGCTGGTCTGGATCCAAGCTGGTCAGGAGGCACTATTGGTTTTTATCATGGCGCGACTCAATTTTGCTTGTTTGGGGCTTGAAGTATTATAGAACCACTCTGGTAATATATTAGTAAGAAAAAAGCCTGGTTGGTTTAGAGGTTTAGATTCCTGGTTATGAATATGATTAAATTCTTCTGCAAATCTTTGGGTTAAAATACTACAAAGGATGTTCAATTTCTTTACTGTATTTGGTAAATATTTCATAAGTGGTTGATACTGTATTTGGAAAATATTTTCTACTTTTGTTTGGTCAATTTATACATTTTGAAAATGGTTGATACAATATGTCATACCAATATATATATGTTCTTTTTTCATTGTTAACGACGATGGGCTTGTAATGCTTAAGTCAAATAAAATATTTGTTCTGTTCTGTTCTGTTCTATATCTGGTATAAATTTCATACTTAAGTCTTGTATGATACTTAATGCCTGGTATATGCAAAAATTTTATTCCTTTGTCCTGGGTAGCACAAGTTTTTTGTTTTTTTTCTGTCAATAACAATTCAATACTAACGTCTTATAGAAATTAAAAACGTTCTTAGCTTTCACCAAGTATTCATCATTTCTTAATTTCAAGCAAAGTTAATAAATCAAATAACCTTGGCATAACATGATTTTCATCAACTATCAGATCATCCCTTCTACTGATTTGAAATTCATTATCAAAATCTGACCACAAACTTATTATATTACCAGTTGACATTACCCATAAATTCACCGTAGACATTCTTTGTCATATAACTTGATTTTTTTTTATTATATAAGGACATAAAATTAGCAAATAGAATCAATGGAATTATTTGAACAATCTTTACTATTTTAAATTTAATGCACATGAAATTTTCCTGAGGTTTGTGTCTTCTGATTTGGCAAAATTGCTGAATTTGTATGTACGGATATTTAATGAAAAGGACCACAAACTTCAATCTGAAAATTTATCAAAATCAGAATGATATTAATTATTAAAGTGCATACTAACATTTCTTGAAGGCCATGCACTCTTTATTGTGTAAGTGCATTCAAACATGATTTTAAAGGCTTTTTTAAGAAAAAATAAGGTAAATATCTTGAGGGAAAAAAAATTCCATCTATTTCATTTTGGCTTTAAGCAGCATGACTCCAGATTCATGCTTATTTTCATGAAAATTCTGAAAATGCATTTAAAAGTAAAATATTGTGAGGTGAACAAAGACAATTATTGACATATTGCATATTATACAATCAATATTAATTTCCAAAAAGAGGTCAGTTTATGCAAAAATAGCCCTTAATGTGTTAGTCACGCAGTAGAAATACATATATGGTGATAAATACTGCAAAATCAGTCGTTAATTGGACATAACATGTAAATTATTACTTGAATCTAATTAAAAAATTTTAGTACATTTTTCTCGAGTTTGATTTTCTTGAAAAGTTTTGGCTCATCTTGAGTCATGCAGCATTAAGGGGAAATATCTTTTCATTTATGTGAGTATTATTGAAGAGTTTTTAGTTTACTATTTACATTTTTACATAAAGAACCATAGCTCTATTCCATGTTTATCAGTTTGGCAGAATTTCACTGATGGGTTTGTGAGTAACTTCCTAAATATCTTAAATGGATATTTCAATCTGGACAAAACATCATTTTCAAAATATAGAGACTGAATAGTAGACAGTGCAGACCATGATCAGATAGCACAGGTGTTCAGGGCGATGTTGGCCTGACTAATGTACTTGTGGGTCCAATGGGTACAAACAGTTGCCACCGATGGGTTTTGAGTTTTATAAACATAGATAAAAGGAATATTAATTTTTTTTTTTATTTGAAATGAATTGAGTTTTCATTTTGTCTCGTATTACAAAATTGCTTTCGATGTTAACAAAACATTCATCATTCATTCTTGCATCTCAGAGACAGGATTATCTACCATTAACACCGGTTCTAGAAAACTCTGTCTTACACTCCCATGTAAGACAAGTCGCGTGCTTTAAATGACGTCATTGACGCGCGACTTTTATGAATGAATCGCGTTCTTAGGATGACGTCATTTTTCCGTTATGAATGAAGTTGTATGTTCATATGCTGCTATAAGAAAAAAGTGTGTAATGAGAATATCAGTTTTCATAACTTCTGTTTCGTAAGAAATTGACATGTTATATGCAAGAAAAAGAATTAAACACCGGCTGTTGGTACAGACGGGAATATCTAGCTCTCGGGAAACTGTTTAGCAGAAACTCGGCAGAGCCTCGTTACTGCTGTAAACAGTTACCCTCAAGCTAGATATTCCGGTCTGTACCGGCAGCCGGTGTAAGATTCTTATATTCATTGATGCGATGGACCAGTCATTTTAAACCCTGGCTGCCCAACAGTGGATAACACCAGGGATTTTACCTTAAAGACCAGATAAGCTCTGGTAAGATCCTGGGCCACCCTGTAAAACAAACACATGGTAAAGTCCTGACCAATGTTCCCTAGGGAGAAATTGGCTAAATTCCAGGCTATTTTTAGTATGAAAATAAAATCATTAATTTACCAAAGTGCCAGGAAACTAAAAATGAGTCACAGCTTATTTCTCTGTGTTACCCATGGATTCAGTGGTTAATTATTTGAGTTATTATTTCTGAAAAAAAAGCCCTGCAATTTGAAGGAAGACTCTTTCTTCCTTGGTATGTCAGAATTCTTTGTTTTTAGTATGTTAAATTGCACAATTGTCATTGAATTCATTGAACAATTACTTATTATTATTTGATAATGAAGAATTGGCCATGAATTCAGTAAAGTATTCTTTATTGTTGCAGAATTGCTCTTGAATTGAATGGAATATTATTTATTATTGAAGAATTGCTCTTAAATTGGACTGACTATTATTTATTATTGTATAATTGCTCTTAAATTGAACTGACTTTTATTTATCATTGCAGAATTGCTCTTGAATTGAATGGCACATGTACAGGGGAACATGGGATTGGACTAGGAAAGAGAGAGCTGCTGGTTAAAGAGATAGGGGAAGAGGGGCTTCAAGTTATGAAACAAATCAAACAAGCTTTAGATCCTAATGGAATAATGAACCCAGGCAAAGTGTTCTATTAGTGTTTTGAATGGAAGAGGAGAGATGATGTCATAGTGGTGCTATAAATAGAACTTTTTGAAAATTTGTCCCAGAACCTGCTTGAACCAACATTTATGAGCTTTAGCCTCCAGTATAGAGCCAGGCCAGCCTGCATGTTGATAATTATCAAACATGTTCAGAATAGGAGTCATGTTGGCTCAGTTCTAATATTAAAAAAGTATATGTTCTGTTCTATACTGTTAGCTTACTTACTTAAACTTTTAATTTTGATATCCCTAAAGTTTGATTATGGACAGTTACACAAACTGAAGCTGGACAAGTCCATTGGGAAAATTCAGGAGGTTAAAAGGTTTGAACAATTATATTGTAACCTTCTCTATATATGTAATATGCTCTACTTTTATAAGATCAAGGCTGTATTCCATTGAGCCATTATGTTTATGGAGTTGTTAAAAAGAAAAAAAATACGATAAACTTTTAATGGTGTTCCTTAAATGACAAATTTATATGAAAAAAATACAAAAGAAATAAAAACATAATTATGCGAAGGTCATTTCAATAGACAATATATCAAAAATAGTTTTTAATTAGAAATGATTTAAGTCTAAATGAACCAATTATATAATGTTTTAATAAAAGTGTTTGCAGGGTAACCAATTATTATAAATAAAAAACAACATAATAATGATGATTAAATCAGTTTTTATGCCACCGCAGCATCTGCGATGCGGTGGCATATAGCGATTCACCTGTGTGTGTGTGTGTTTGTTTGTTTGTGTGTTATATAGATTATATAGTGAACTTAAAAAATCTTCTTGTGAAAAACCACTAGTCCAATTTAGACCAAACTTGGCAGGATTGATCCTTGGGTGAAGGGCTTCCAAAGTTGTTCAAAGAATTTCATTCCATGCAATGGCAACCAAAAGGAATTGTAAGAATAAATTTAAAAAATCTTCTTGTAAAGACCCAAAAGGCCTAGAGCTTAGATATTTTGCATTAGGCATTGTCTGGTAGACCTCTACCAAGATTGTTCAAATTATAGCCCTGGGGTCAAAATCGGCCCCGCCCCAGGGGTCATTGATTTTCACTATATGTACATATAGTAAAAACTTAAAATACATTCTTGTAAAGACCCAAAAGGCCTAGAGCTTAGATATTTTGCATAAGGCATTGTCTGGTAGACCCTTACCAAGATTGTTCAAATTATAGCCCTAGGGTCAAAATCAGCCCCGCCCAGGGTGTCATTGATTTTCACTATATGTACATATAGTAAATACTTTAAATACCTTCTAGTAAAGACCCAAAAGGCCTAGAGCTTAGATATTTTGCATAAGGCATTGTGTGGTAGACCTCTACCCAGTTTGTTCAAATTATAGCCCTGGGGTCAAAATCGGCCCCGCCCCGGGGGTCATTGGTTTTCCTTCTATGTATATAGTAAAAACTTATAGTCAAAACTTTAAAAAAAATTCTTCTAGCAATTGACAAATGCTAGAGGTTAGATATTTTGCATGAAACATTGTGTAGTGAACCTCTAGCAAGATTGTTCAAATTATAGCCCTGGGGTCAAAATTGCCCACGCCCCGGGGGCCATTGATTTTCAATATATACATATAGTAAAAAATCAAAAAATCTTATTGTCTGAAGGTACAAGGCTTCAAAAACTTAAAATACCTTCTTGTAAAGACCCAAAAGGCCTAGAGCTTAGGTATCAATACGGTGGCATAGCATTTTTCTCAAATGCAATCTTGTTTATTTTTTTTATTTTTGAATTGAAAAAAATATTGATAATAGCCAGTCATCACAAGTATATAAAAATATGACAATAAATTGGTTTAGTTATTTATGGAGATTTATAGTGGAACCCCATTGTATCGTGCTATTCATTGTATCGATCTATTTACAAATCTTTCGATGTTTTTACAAATGCACTAGCTACTGATTGCTAACATTTACAACAGTGTCACGAAATTCTTTTGCATCTGTTTCGAGCCGAAAAAATGACCAAAAACATGTTTCCAGTACCGTCAGACTTTGTAGATAATAAATAGACTTATAAATAGTGTGTTCTTATTAAAAGCACATTTCTGTCTGTTGAAAGTTCCTAAATTTATGCTGACATTTTAAAACATACAACTTTGATTCTAATTGACTGAAAAATCTAGCATAAAGATGAGTCAGGCTTCCCAAACTTTGACTTACTGAGCGATTCTCACAATGCATCAATATAATGGCGTGACCTTACTCTTCAAACTGTTTGACATGTCCATAAATATCCGTATATTCCAAAGCTAAAAAGTATATATCAGTGATGTTTGCCATGTATATATTATGACAAAAGGATCAAAATAAATGATTCAAAATAAAGATTCAGGAATATTTAATTTTTTTAACTGCAGTTGTGATTTTAGGTAAATAGATCGATACAACGGGGTTCCAGGCTACTATTACTTTAAAGGTTTACAGATGTTGAATAGAAAATTATTTTTGAATTGCAAACATCTATTTGAATGAAGTGTATCTTTTTAGAATGTCTATACAACATATTTATTTTGATTAATTTCCAAAATGATTTTTGTCTTGTAAACAAAAAAATGATATTGTTTGATTATGAAGAAAAGTCAAGGGAATGTATTATATTAAAATGAATATTGAATATTCTTTTTAATATTTTTTGTGAGGAATTTTTATTATTTTCATTGAAAAATGTTTGTTTTGATTGTTTTAATTAATTCCTAATAATTATGTGTATTTATAAATCGATTGATTAATTGTTTTAATGATATTATTTTATTCATGATTGATTAATATTATTGTATTTATAATGGATTAATTTATTGATTCATTTTTATTGTATTCTTCTTAATGGATACATTTTCATTCTATACTAAATGGATCATTATTATTGTATTCTTGATGAATAAATATTTACTTTATTGTATTATTTAAGAATTTATTTGATTTCTTGTTGGCTCTTGATTTGTATAAAATTTACTGAACATATTCTTTTTGAATTACAATGGTAATTATTTCAAGAATAACTGTAAACTTTCTACATATTATGTAAGCATTGCTTAAAGTATACAATGTTAAAGGGATTTCCAAAAGTATCATGTGTCACATTTTGTAAATTGTTATTCAGTTTAATCAGAGATTTTAAGATAATTCATTATGATTGTTTAGTTTTATATGAATCCTCGATGATTTCAAAATTGTACTTCCAATGGACAGTTCCAGATTTTATTTCAGGCAAGCACAATACACAAATTCAGTAGTTGAGAAGGTGTTGTTAATATTTATGTGCCAAATTTATGCTTGATTTTTAATTTCTTAACAATATATAAGAGCTGTTGCTTACATGTTTTACAGGCTTGTTATTATTATAATTGTATATGAATCTTGTTCTGGAATAAGTAAGAAAATTTTATATATTTGCTCCAGAGGGTCAGTTTATAAATTTCAGAAGTATTTATATGAAATGACAACTTACGTCAGATGTTATGACTTTATATAGTTAGATTTTTTAATTATTTTAATGCCCCTGGATTGATTAATCGCAAGGCATGTTGTTTTTGATCTCTGTTTGTCTGTCTGTTTGGTCAACTCTACCTGGACCAATAAAAAGAAATCCTAGACATACAACCTCCAAACTTAGCCGGTACATGCAGGTTGATGGGCTCTAAAGGCCCTATGGACTGGCGTTCATTCGGATGTATCATTTGTTATATAATACACGTTCATTTTTTTGTAAATTTCTATGCTATTATGCTTGTATTTCTTTTGCAAATTAAAACAAAATGTTAATGATTTTTTAAATTATAATAAAAAATAAAATAAATCAGAATCTAAAAACAGTTTTAATGTGTTAGACTTGTGTTTTACAAAAAGGAATTTTTTGATTTGGTAACGAAGTGTTGAGCAAAGAAAATTTTCCATTTGTGAATGTACTTTTTATTGTTCAACATAAAACTATATCTTAGTCCCAGTAGGGTGTCTAGAATCTTCAGGAAATAACTTTTCATGGAAATTATTCAATATGATAAATGATATAATAAAACCATAATGTAAAAACTTAAATAAAAAAACAATAAAAGAAACATTTTTATGATTTTAATGTTAATGTCCATGATGCCCCATGGTGCTTTATTTAAATTGTGACTGTATCAAATTTAAAGTGGGAGTGACATAATGCTAAGCTAGTTTTGATAGTAAATGTTTTTATTATTAAAAATAGTGCGTGTGTATAAGTGATAGATCGCGAAACGTTGCAATGATATACTTAAGTCTTGATAAGATGTCATTAAATGTTTAAGAAGGTAAAAGAAATACATAGGTATATATAAAAAGACATAAACAAATCTTGGTAATTATAGTTTGGTTGTAACTTTTTAAATTGTATGTTTGAAACAAACAAAAAAGAGAAAAATAGAGATTTTATAAGGTTAAACTATTTTTTATGGCTATTTCGTTTTAAGAAATCATTGAATTTACTTTGTTTTATGACTTTTATCACCAATGTCACTTGCTAAGACAAACCACATACTGTGAAAAATATATACGAAAAAAAAAAAAACGAAAAAAAACAAGAAAAGGTTAGTTTCGTGACTGCCTCTGACATTTTAGTGACAAACAAAATCATGTTCAGCTCCTACGCGCTAAAGCCATTTGTGTGAGAAGAGTCGTCATTTCAGTTTCTTTGAATCGCTCACGCGGCGAATCGTCAGTGGAGCGGATCGTTGTAAGTACTGCTTTACTGTTAACACCAATAACATCGTGTGACGATCTTCTCCAGGCCCCCCACCCCTGATCCCGACAGAGGCGTGTACGTCGCGGAGAAGGCACACGTTCAAGGTCAAATACACCTCTAGTAACAAGAGACGATTGCTTGGGGATTGTCGTGACTAACTCGGAGAGTTGGCGCGAAACAAGAGCCGTTTTTTGTGATGTTGCGTAAGAAAACGTTGATGCCATGCAGTAAATTTTCATTTTCCCT